GGATGGGCTCCCAAGTCTTCGGCTTGGGAGGCCCATTTATTATGGGGCCACTACTGGGCCGAGTACAAAGTATATAAAAACAACTAAGTATGAAATCTTGTTTTGTGAGCTCTCCATGGCCGACGAGGGCATGGCCGACGGAGGCATGGCCGACGGAGGCATGGCCGACGGAGGCATGGCCGACGGGGACACCTGGTTCTTTGGGTTTGTGGATCATATTCTGAGTTGACTTCTTTCGGCCGATGGAGGGCCATCTGGCCGATGGAGGGCCCACTGGGTGCCAGTCGTGCCTCCTATTCTTCTGAGTATGTGGGTCCTGGGGTTTGGACCCATATACTCCATCACGTGTATCGAGGCTCAGTTTGATAGGGGATCAACCCCGACCATCCTATATGTTATATTTTGCATGGAATTGCATAGGATATGATGTTTAAATGCTAAGGATTGATGTATGATGATTAAATTCTAAGGATTGGATTAGTCGTTAGTAATGATATGATATAGACCATAATCGGGTGAGGTATGTGGTAGATCATAGGTTCGGATGGAGCACTCAGAGACCGGGAGGTGTCCTCAACGGCCTGTTTGGATGAAGTGTTGGGAGGTGTTAGTAAAGGAAGTTAGTAAGTGTTGGCAGGGGACCGGAAGGGAAGGGAAGTGTAACCGTTAAACATAATCTTACCTTGTTTGGGAGAGTTTAAAAATGAAGTGTTTTCACTTAAATTGACAAAAATATCCTCATACAAGAGTTGTCCGATTCATGTGTTTCTCCACATTGACTTTGAAAAAAAAATATTCTACTTATTGAAGTATTCTATGTATTCATTTCATTAATTTAATGTGCTAAAAAATTAAAATGAAATTGCTAAAATTAAAATGTTCCGCGTTAAGCTCACAAGTTAACAAGTTTGTTGTTTGAGCCAATCAATTCCAAACACTTTATACATAATAATTTGATTATGTATATTAGTAGAAAATCGTGGTCAAAGTAAGGTCTGTGAATAGTGCAAAAATCACAATGTTGCAAGAATTAAAAACGGAGGAAGTATTTCGAATCTGAATACATACATATTTTAAAAAATTCAAAGACTTTTTTCTTTGACTAGTTCCCTGTTTCCAAAAGGCCGAGTATAAAGGAAGTAAATATAAACAAAGAAGTTTGAACTAGAACTGCATATCAAGAGCCATTGCCGGAAAATCAAATCAGAAGAACTTGCAGCAATAGGATCAACGAGCTACAGATCGAGCAGAAAGCATGGCTCAATGGGCACTTGGCCAGTAGAAAACATAACCACAATAGTAATAACCAATCCCATTTTTGCAGCCTTGTTTTTTTAACAAAATGCTCCAAACATGGTGTGTATACATATATCTAGCAAGGACTGAATTGAAGAATTATATTGAAAGGAGTATTATTGATGATTTACAAGTGTTATACGTACATGACTTATAGAGGTTGGCAACTAAGGTTATAAAGCCTTCTAACTAACTGCCATCGAGATTGTATATGAGATAATTACAAATTATGTGTACATGAGTATAAGATAAATACAAGTAACAAAATGTTAATAATATTATGATCCAATACGCCCCGCAAGATAGAGGATCCGTTGGAGACGCCTAGCTTGGAGCAAAAAAATGAGAATGGTGTCTTGCCAAGCGGTTTGGTGAGAATGTCAGCAATTTGATTTTCAGTTGAGATATGATTAACAATCAGCTGTCCCTGCTCAACTAGCTCACGCACAAAAAAAAAATCTAATGCAAGATGTTTCATCCGAGAGTGGAAAACGGGATTAATGCACACGTAAGTGGCACCTTGATTGTCACAGAAAAGTTGTGGCGTGGATGATAGTGAAATACCCAACTCAGTAAGCAGATTACGGACCCATAACATTTCTGCACTTGCATTAGCAACCGCCTTATATTCAGCCTCGGTTGATGATCGAGACACTGTTTTCTGCTTTGCCGACTTCCAAGAAATAATATTACCTTCCAAATAAAGTGCGTACGCTGTCGTCGAGCGCCCCCCGTCAGTCACGCCACCCCAATCCGAATCAGAAAAAACCGATAAGGTTAAGGGTGAGGAACGACTAAGAAATAATCCATGGTCCAATGTACCTTTGAGATATCTTAATATCCGTTTCACACCTTGCCAATGAGTCTCCGTCGGTGAATGCATAAATTGTGATAGGCGGTTGACAGCAAAGGAGATATCAGGACGAGTGAAGGACAAATATTGCAACAACGCGAGGGTACGGCGATATTGGGTCGCATCTGCAGAACTAGATCCATCTGTTAGTGAGAATGGCATCTTGGTGCACATGGGAGTACTGGCTTCTTTGCCCCCTACATGGAACAAGTCTCCAGTATGTGGAGTATATATTGTCATTGTGTCAAAAACATGCCAGTGGGAGTGGGGACCACCTCTATCCCTAGAAAATGGTGTAGCATACCAAGATCTTTAACCGAGAACCTCTGAGTGAGTTGACGGACAAATGTATCAACAGCACTGGAGTTGTTTCCTGTAACAACAATATCATCAACATAGACAAGAAAATAGATTAGTATGTCTTTAGAGGAGTAAATGAACAGAGATGCATCGGCCCGAGACTTTCGGAAGCCCATTGAGAGAAGAAACCGGCAGAGTTCCATGTACCAAGCACGTGGGGCCTGTTTGAGCCCATATAAGGCCCTACGGAGCTTACACACATGCGTAGGGAATTGAGGATCCTTAAAACCAGGTGGCTGGACCATATACACCTCCTCCGTTAGACTCCCATGTAGGAAAGCATTATTCACGTCTAATTGACGTAGTGACCAGCCCCGAGCCAGTGTAATAGAAAGTACAATACGGATAGTGGCTAGTTTGGTGACGGGACTAAATGTCTCAGAATAATCACGGCCTGGTTGCTGAAGGAATCCGCGAGCTACCAGTCGAGCTTTAAACCGGGAGATGCTACCATCTGCATTTCTCTTAATACGGTAGAGCCATTTACAAGTGATAGGATGTTTGGGCGGTAGGAGGTACCAACACCCATGTATTGTTGCGGCGGAGGGCCTGCATTTCTTCCTCCATGGCCGTGTGTAACACCCCGACCCCGTAGGCTCCGAGGTAGTTACTTCTGACCTCTAGTACTTTCCTCACAAACCGCCACTAGCCTTTTACACGCACTTTGTCCTTACTCATGCGCGCCCTGAGAAACTTCCCAAGAAGTCACCCATCCCAAGACTACTCCCGTGCAAGCACGCTTAACTTTGGAGTTCTTGGGTGATGAGCTCCCTTAAAAGGAGATGCACCTTATTGGTATGAGTAGTACTATTAATCCGTTTAAATTAAATCTCATGTATTACAATCACCCCCACTTAGGAACGCAACGTCCTCGTTGCTCCCATAAACTAATCTCAATCATATCCCAGAATCGTTTCCCCTGCTAAGTGGCCGCCCGATATCCAACGGATTAGCACACTGTCGCAGGGCTGCTCTGATACCATTTGTAACACCTGTAATACCTGAGATTTAATTTAAACGGATTAATAGTACTACTCATACCAACAAGGTGCATCTCCTTTTAAGGGAGCTCATCACCCAAGAACTCCAAAGTTAAGCATGCTTGCACGGGAGTAGTCTTGGGATGGGTGACCCCCTGGGAAGTTTCTCAGGGCGCGCATGAGTGAGGACAAAGTGCGTGTAAAAGGCTAGTGGCGGTTTGTGAGGACAGTACTAGAGGTCAGAAGTAACTACCTCGGGGCCTACGGGGTCGGGGTGTTACAAATGGTATCAGAGCAGCCTTGCGACAGTGTGCTAATCGTTGGATATCGGGCGGGCACTTAGCAAGGGAAAAGATTCTGGGATATGATTGAGATTAGTTTATGGGCGCAACAAGGACGTTGCGTTCCTAAGTAAGGGTGATTGTAATACCTGAGATTTAATTTAAACGGATTAATAGTACTACTCATACCAACAACGTGCATCTCCTTTTAAGGGAGCTCATCACCCAAGAACTCCAAAGTTAAGCGTGCTTGCACGGGAGTAGTCTTGGGATGGGTGACCCCCTGGGAAGTTTCTCAGGGCGTGCATGAGTGAGAACAAAGTGCGCGTAAAAGGCTAGTGACGGTTTGTGAGGACAGTACTAGAGGTCAGAAGTAACTACCTCGGAGCCTACGGGGTCGAGGTGTTACACCGTGACCCATCTGGGATCAGATAATGCCTCACTACTAGAGAAGGAACATATAACATCGGTTATTTTATACTTTTAACGTCGATTCTGGAACCGACGTGTAAGTGAGAGACGTTATAGGTTAGACCCTATAACGTCGGTTATAAAACCGACGTAAAAAGTTACCTTCCACGTCGGTTTTATATAAAACCGACGTTACATATATTTTTGAAAAAATAAAATAAATACATGTTACGTCGGTTATTTAACAAAACTGACGTTGAATATAATTCAAAAAAGGGAAAAGGGGCAAATAAGGCCACGTACTAACCAAAAAAGGTCAAATAAGACCTTATTTATGAGACTCTGTCCGGCCTTCGCCATTTGGGTTGGTTCTCGATAGAATTTTTTGATGACAATTTTTGAGCATCTTATTCAGTAAGTCTAGTTTACTCATACAAAATTTAAGCTAAAAATTCAATCAGGAAGTCATTCAAATGAATTCTTTAAGATAATTGCGCAGTTAAAAGCGCAATTATCTTCAAGAATTCATTTGAATGCCTTCTCGATTAAATTTTTATCTGAAATTTGGTATGAGTAAACTAGACTTAATGAATAAGATGGTAAAAAAAATGCATCAAAAAACTCCACCGAGAACCACCCCAAATGGTGAAGGCCGGACAGAGCCTCATAAATAAGGCCTTATTTGACCTTTTTTTGTTAGTACGTGGCCTTATTTGCCTCTTTTCCCTTCAAAAAAAAAATACATATTACGTCAGTTCTCTCAAAAAACTGACGTTAGAAGTAACTTTTTTAGAAAAAAAAATATACATGCACTATAATTTACACGCTTCCAAAAATTGAAAATTAGTACCATCCATCCAAAATTTACAGATTACACAAAGTGCAACAGCTCAATACATACTACGCAGAAGACTACTTACGATTACAATTTAAAGTTCAAAAAAATCAATATTCAATATCATACTTCTAACACAAGAGACCACCCGCCAGTCTCACACATGATCAAAGACCATCTTCTCCAAACTTGAACTCTAAACTTTCTTGTTCCTCCATATATTAGTGAACTGAAAAAATTAGTCAAGCAAATCATTCAATCTGAATAAATAATGAACTTTAAAAATCTTTCAATCTGAAGAACTTAAACTCACATGTACTTATAACTATATAACTATATAACTAATAATGCTGCACAAGATTACTGCAAAAGTGAAGTGACATTAATCATAAGCTTTAATCTGAACCGTTGTGCAAGCATATTAGAAATGTAACAGATGTGTATGCTGCCCGTCGATGATTGCTGCGTCAGCGGTGTATGCTGCTAGGTGTGCGTTGAACAGAACTCCGGCTTGGAATGATACGCTGAGGGTTCACACAGGATTCTCTGAAGGGCAGCTTATGGGGTGCGCCAAGCTTCTGGTTGGTTACCATCTGGAGGCTGCTAATCATAAACTGAGGGTCATCTTCAAGAAATACTCTCTTCCCCAGACTCCAGAGAGATGCCGTTGCTATTCTTCCACCTGCCAAGTCTCTCTTGGCGCCTGCTGCTGATACCTAAAAGTTGTGAATTTGCAAGAAAAATGATCTCTTTGATCATTTGCTTAACATTCAAGACTACCATTGTGTTTTTTTAGTTCAAATGTTGTCTTTTATTTCATTATTCTTTTGACTGGATTCTGAAAATTGATGGAAGAATTTATCCTTTAAAAAAACATGAGAAAAAGAATCAACGAACATTGTAAAGATAAATGAGAACTTAACAAACATCACAAAGATATTCTCAACTAACCTCTTAGAGATATATCCAATATTGCAAAAGAAACTTTATTGGGAAATGGAGTTAATTGATCTTGCAACAACTGCAATTATAAAAATTTCTAGAATCAGTTAGTGGCAACTTAGTGCTCCTAATTAATGTTCAAGTAAACCGTTAACATGCTATCGCAAAGCAGCTAAGCTTGTGATGTAGAGAAAACAATATGCTTATAATGGCAAACTAAAACGAGCTTGATTGAAGAATAAAGCATCTCTATACCAGAAAAGTAAAATAGGAAAAACTAATGCAAATTAGAAGACATGTACGAATATGGAATATAAGAAAATCAAAAGAAATTAAACTGAGGCAAAACCAGGACATTTCACATTTCCCTTGGCAGGAATCTCCTTTCAAAGAAGAAAATGATTCATTACCATCAAAAAACTGCCCTTGACCTTGTCAACCTGGCCTACACTGGCCAATCTCTGTTTCATCAAGGCATCGATGTTCCTCGTAAAATATATAGAATTTCAAAAGCAGTTATTTTAACTTCCTATTCATCCATCTTCTCAAGCATCAATCATACATAATACATTTATGTTGTTTTCTGCCTATAATCTGACTGATACATCATCACTGCTAGATAACTATGATTTTTGCAAGAATGTTGAGAAATAGTATAGTAACAAGACAAGTAAATGGTTCTGCAAAAGAGATATCTGTTAAAGCATATTATATTCTTCAAAACAACCTGCTTGGCATTTTGAATTAAAAAGCCCCTTGTCCCAATACTATCTTTTTCTTTTGGATAAATGGAGGTATAACTAAAATGATGACGCTGAAAAAATGAGTTCATTGAGCAAATAAAAATTATCGACAATAGTGGACAAGTTCCTGATGTATTCGATTAGTGACCTACACGTAGGACAGAAACCAGGATAATTAGTGCAATTTGATGATAACCACAACTACAAATGTAGTGTAAAGATACAAGGTAGTCAAAGAATAAGAAGTCACACCTACTAAAGTATTCTAAAATTCTATCTGCCTTCGAAAATAATTGATAGGCCTCATTATTCAACCCCTTAAAATATAGCAACCTTAAGAATATAACATATAAAACTTTTAGTATGGCCCCATCCTGGCTACCCTTTCCCCCCCTAAAAAGAAAGTTTTGTATTAAGATATTAACAATGCTTATTTTTTTAGTGTTGGTGAGGAATGACTTCATCTATCACGAATCATGCTTATATGTGTTAGTGTAGACACAAGCAAAACAAAAAAGAAAAATAGTAAGATATCACAAACCAGTAAAACTTGAAAACCATAACCAATAGAACTAGAACTGTTTACATGTTATTCTAGATGTGTTAATCTCTAACCGTGGCACACGTGATTAAAGTTATGCATTAAACATACTGTAATAGTGTTATAGTGCAATACTACAACAACTTGAAACTAAAAACAAAAATTTTATGGTAACATTTCGTCCATGCAACTCCCAGAAGTTAAAAATTAAGCTTTATATTTCTCTGAGGACTTTTATCAAACACTTTACCTGCAAACAAGAGTATTGAGTTACTTCGTAATATTTACATAATAATCTTCTTAATTGAAATCAATCATCACACACCAAAAGAGGCTAAACAAAACCAGTTTTTGTAGTCATATTTTGGGTTGTAAAACACACATCATATCCAAGTGTTTTTAAAAATAATTAGGCTGCACGGGGGGTGTTGTCTGCTGCGGAGAGAAGGAAAAGAGGCTGCACACGGACAGAATTATGGGAGAAGATGAGAGAGAAGTAAGTTAGAGATAAATAGAGTTGAGGCCATAGAAATTAGTCGCCTGCTTAGGCGTTGTAGTCTCCTGATTAATCGGCGGACCGACTTTGATGTCCGACATAGGGTTAATCGCCGCGGAACGCCTAGGCGGCGCCTAGTCGGTCGCCAAGGACGACTTTTAGATTAAAAAGTATTCCAAAAGTTCAATCGCATGAGGAAGAAAAAATTACCGAAGATGACGCAATTGTTGAGCTGGACCGGCTCAAGATACAAGGGCTGCCCCGATTCACAATGTAACCCCATGAGCAGATTTCGCTAGATAAGTCAGCCAAACTTGTACCTGGATCGTCCACCGATAGAAGGTAAGCATTGAAGCGGAATAAGAAGATCGACATATTTAACAGAGAGATTTTGAGCACAGAGAAAGAGGATTCGAGCACTAGAGAAAGGAGATGATGGGAGAAGGATTTGTTTGATGGCCATCCGATTATAATTTTAAACACCATCAGGGGCCATGCTTAAAATCGAACTTAATATTTACGACGTTTAGCTCATAACCGTCGTTATAATAAGTAAATACACACATCTATTACGGCAGTTGCAATATAACCCGACGTGAGACGAAAGTATAATTTTCCCGTAAAGCATACAATGACGGTTTTCCAGAAAACCGACGTAGAAAATATTTTATTAGAGCAGTTTTTAAAAACCGACGTTAAATGTGCGACTTAATAAGTCATTCCTGTAGTAGTGCCTGTTTCACACTGGTTGGTTCCAGGACTGGGGTGATTGGGTGTTTTGTGGTAAGGTTGATGAATGGCCCGCCAATATACTTTGGATTAGGGACTTGTGTGCGGGTAGGCCGAGTGGGAGTGATGGTGGTATGCAGAATAGGGTCAGTAGGACTGGAGTTCGGATGGGGTTGCGATAGAGGGGTGTCGGTTAGTGGTATAGAATGGTGATATATGGGATTGGAATCATTAGTGTGGGTGGGGGATGTGGGGTCACTGGGATTAGGAGGAGATGTATTTTGGGAGTTCGGTTGAGGTGGCAAATTGGGTGGGCACGTGTGAGGTGGAGGATTTGTAGGAGATGGGTTGGTGGAGGTTATAGGTGATAAGGATGCATTAGTCAAAGGAAAAGGGACCACGGGAGAGATATGCATGCATGCAGACGGAGAAGGAGAACTAAATGACGACTCAGATCGTTGATCAGAACGGTAGGGAAAAATATGAGGAATGAAACGTACATGACGACTGGTGTCCAAACAGAGATATGCAGACTGACTTAAAGAATAGCCGATAAATATACAGCCATACAGGGTACGGATCGATCATGAATTTTAGATGGAGCATATGGCCGAAGCCACGGATAACACATACACCCGAACGGTTGTAATTTGGCGTAATTAGGGTGGCAATTGTAGAGTTGAAAGTAGGGTGTAGAGTAATTAATAGTTGAGCTAGGCACACGATTAATAAGGTATACTGCTCTTTGGACCGCATAAGACCAATAAGAACGGGGAAGGCCAAAGTAATGAAGAAGGGCGAGACAAGTATCAACAGTGTGCCGATGCCGACGCTCGGCAATACCATTATGTTCAGGGATATGAGGTGGTGTGGTGAAGTGAGATATGTCATGTTGGTTTAGATATGACCGTAATTTAATGTATTCGCCTTCGTTGTCTGAGAAAAAGGATTTAATTAAATATTTAAACTGAGGGAATACAATAGATACATCACTCTTATGTTTTAGTGGATATAACCAAATATACCGAGTGAAGTAATCTACAAAAATGACATAATAGCGATAGCCATCAATAGACAGATGAGATGTGCTCCAAACATCACTATATATTAATTCAAGAGGATTATTGGCTCGCATACTATTAATATAAAAGGGAAACTTAGGTGCTTTTATTGACATGACAAGACGAACAATGGGACTCACAGGGTGAGATGTTACATGGAAGAACATTTTTATTTTGATGAATTAATAAATTAAAAAAGTGACTGGATGGATGACCAAACGTGTGCTGCCAATGAGACGGACTAGAGACTCTAGAAATGTTGACTTGTGGAGGTTGTGGTGACCGAACATAATAGACATCATAGAAGTTCTCCCCGCGCATGAGCACCGCCCCTGTGGCCCGATCCTTAACAAAAAAAAGTGTAGAAAAAAATTCAACAAAAACGGAGTTAGTTTGGCACAATTTAGCAACTGATACTAAACTTTTATTTAGGCGGGGAACACAAAGAACGTTAGATAAGGATAAGGGTCGGGATTTAGTGGCTAAGGTAGTTGAACCAGTGTGAGTAATGGACAGGGAATTACCATCACCAAGATGAACCTCATCAGGTCCCCCATATTCAGCACAAGTCGGGAGATTAGTAGGAGCTGAAGTGACATGATGAGAGGCGCCGCTGTCAAATAACCATGGTTGACCACCGGTAAATGAATTGACTTGCGTGGAGTGAGCTACTGGTGGTGCTGAATTTGATGGAAAAGAGACTTGATGGTCACGTAGGAATCTTTGTAGTTTTCTACAATATTTGACCTCATGCCCTTGAATGTTACAAAAACGACACACCACTCCATTTGAATATGAAGACCGAGACTGCCCATGATAACCTCCACCTCGGCCACGACGAGCAGGTTGATTCCGACGATCGCCAGACGGAGTGGGGCGGCGATCACCATATGTGGGCGGTTCAGAGGATCGTCCGGCAGCCTGCGTAACATGGGCAGTAGGTACAAGAGTTTGTACCGATGCAGCAGCTTCCTGAAGTTTTTGTTCATGCTCCAAAAGAATGTCTTGCAATTCTGCAAGAGGAAGAGGTGACGTGCGAACACGAATAGCAGATCAAAGTTCACCATAATCAGATCCAAGTCCGTTGAGAATATTGATAACCAAATCATCTTCTGAAATTGGGTTTTGAGCGAGAGCCAACGCCTCGGAAATAGCATACATCTCAACAATGTATTCAGTAATGGATCTGCCTCCTTTTGTGGTCCGTGAGAGAGATTTTTTGAGAGATATGATTCGTCCTCTCGATGTACTCGCATAGGTGAGGGAAAGTTTATCCCAAGCCTGTTTTGCCGTGGTAGCAGAAGAGATCAACAGTTGGATGGCGTCGGAACAGCTGCCCAACAAGGCACTGATGATAGTCCGGTCTTGGCGGAACTAAATCGCATAGCACGGATTTGGCTGAGTCTTGGCAGAATCAGTGTGTTTGTCCGGTGCAGTGAGAGATCCATCAACATAACCTTCGAGTCCAAGTCCCACTAGGGCGGAGTGAACTTGACACTTCCAGACGGGAAAGTTGGACGTGGTGAGTTTGATGGGAAAATGGGTGGATGTCGTGAGAGGGACAACCGGCGTGGTGGGGGTGATAGCAGCCATAGCAGGATCGGAGAAAAAAAAAAGCTCTTTAGAGGAAGGCTCTTGATACCATGAAGAATTATATTGAAAGGAGTATTATTGATGATTTACAAGTGTTATACGTACATGACTTATACAGGTTGGCAACTAAGGTGATAAAGCCTTCTAACTAACTGCCATCGAGATTGTATATGAGATAATTACAAATTATGTGTACATGAGTATAAGATAAATACAAGTAAAAAATGTTAATAATATTATGATCCAATATGAATGAATAAATCATTCAATTCGTACGTAGCAAAAATCGAAAAAGATGAAGAAGAAATAGGAAAAGAGAAGATAAACCTGGAGAAGAAGAAGACTCTGCCGGAAGAAGAACCGCAAGTGAATAGTCTTTGGCGTCTGCTGCGGAAGAAAGAGGTACCTTAAAAAAAGGGCAAATATTGTCCAACACATCATTACACCCCAAATTGGAGTGTTAAAAAAGCGATAAATATAGATGTTCGGAAGGTTATAACTAACACCCTCAAACACTTACTAACACCTCTAAAGCATTTTAATTTTTCTACCAAACAAGTGTTAAAATAACCACTCCTTAACACTTCCATTACTAATACATCCCAACATTCAATCCAAACAAGCCGCAAAACTTGGTTATTAAGGGTGGAGTACCCAGGGACCGGGCGGTGTCCTCAAAACTCGGTTATTAAGGGTAGAGTACTGAGGGACTGGATGGTGTCCTCAAAACTCGGTTATTAAGGGTAGAGTACCCAGGGATCAGGTGGTGTCCTTAAAACTCGGTAACTAGGGGGTGAAGTACCCAGAGCCGGGGGTGCCTAAAACTTGTTATTACCCGGAGAGTGGCTCAGTGGCTGAGCAAGGCTATCAACACTCGATGAAGGTAATGAACCCTAGGTTATAGCGGGAAAGCTAAACAACGGGTCGGATATTGGGAAAGTCAAGGACTAAGTCCACCATCATTTTATTGATTTGATCAAATGACCTACGGGTCAGAAATTTTCCAAGCGTATATACTTGTATGTATTTCAAAGACTTGGGGAAGTTATAAGCGTATGTATTACCCTATGTTTGGGCCTTATACTTGAAATGTTAGTTATTCTACATTTAGCCTGCTGCTTGCTCGGTATTCGCGTACTGACCCCTTTGCGGGGTGCGGGGTACCCACTATTTCAGGTTAAAGCTAGAGCTTGCTACCTACACCTTTCAGATGAGTGAAGTCACATTCAGGAAGACATGGTTCGTGCTTTCTTGTTATCTTTAAAACTACAAACACGTGTTCATGGATATTTTGTAATGATTACTTTGTTTTGGGCCTGCGAGCCCACGTTTTGCCATATGTGGCCTATGATTGACTATTGAATATTTCCGCAATTCATTCAATCTAAATTGTGAAGTTGTTATGTATGTTTACTTACTGAGTATGGTATGAACAATGTTCATGGATAGGGTTGTAAACGAATCGAACCGAATACTTGATAATATTATTCGTATTCGTATGATTATCGAATATTTGTATTCGTATTCGTTTAAAATTCGAATCTTATTTTGTATTCGTATTCGATTCGTTTGATATATTCGAATCTTTTTCGAATTGAATTCGAATATTCGAATTCAAAAAACATTAAAGTTAATTTGTGAAAATAATTAAAATTATGATGTTAGTTTGCCCCTTTTAACTAATTTTCATATTACATATATATTTTATAGGAAACAAAATTCATTTATAGAAGTCACTTCAAATTTAATATCAATATAGATAAATCAACGGAGAATTTTAATTGTAAATTAAGCTATTTTGACCTGGTAAAGTAAGAATATTTAAATTAAAATATGCAAAATATATACATGAATATTTTGTTATTAATATTTTTGCATTGAACACTATGTATTCATAAGAAGTAGTATATATTGTATGAATATATAAATATATAAATATATAAATATAAATATATATATATATATAATTCGAATATATTCGAATATTATTCGAATCGAATATCATAGTATTTGTATTCGTATTCGTAAAGTATTCGAATCAAAAAAAAGATTTGTATTCGTATTTGTATTCTACTTACTTGAATTCGAATCGGCATTTTCGAATTCGAATCACGAATCGAATCAAAATTATTCGATTCGTTTACAACCCTATTCATGGACGCCTTATACAATCGAGCGCGTGTGATTCACGGGTGACATCACTTGATTGTACGGCGGTTGTACACGCGCTTAGATGCGGTCTGGGGCATGACAAGATGCTTCAAAGACAGCTGACTTAGGATCCAAAATAAAAACAAATCATGATTTCTTTTCCCCTAATAAGGTAGGACCCACCTTGAGGTGAGTACCAAAATGTATTTAATCTGTTTTGCAGGTCCCCTATGTCTGGTACTTGATCTGTTTGCTCCACACACATGATGAGTATGAAGAGCTGTGAGCAATCAACCCGTGCACATTATGAAGGTGAGTATTGACGTGTATATTACCCACTAAGCAGAAAATCAACAAATGCACACCCCAACACCAACACACACCAAGAACAAACAACAAATGCATATTCTAAGGGGGTGTTTCTTTTCCACTCCTCCTGATGCCTGATATTGTTATATTTTTATTATATATGGTTTAATTTTTAATTGGTTTCATTGTTTGTTGTTGTGGAAATTGCACACTTTTTGGTGTAATTACTTTATTTTTCTAGAAAGTTGTAATTTGTTTAGATTAGGATTATTCTGAGCTTAAAACATTTCAAGATCATCCAAAGGACCAAGTTTGGACCCCAAAAAATCAAAGAAAGTGCAAGGGGACAAGACAAAAAGAAGATTGAAAAAATATTTCATATACCCGTTCAAATATAGGAAATACCCGATCGGGTATCGAGTTTATTCGGGTGTCAAAATTAGAATCTGAAAGACAAAACAACGTGCATGATTTTGAAGATTTGGCTCATACCCGGCCGGGTATGCCGACATACCCGACCGGGTATGTCCCAAAAATTCACTATCCGAGAAACTGCCTTGAAGACCCGATCGGTGGCCTTTATACCCGGTCGGGTATCAGACCCTACCACCTCCAAAAGCCTATAAATACACCCTTTTGCTTCCCATTAAAATCATCAATTCTCATATACTTCTAAGCTCAGTTTAGACAAATATTTCCTTTATGTTTTCTAGTATGTTTAGTCTCCAAATGAGGAGGTAACCCCTTCCATCTTGATTTTGCTAAGTTGAACCTTATGATTTGTAAGTTGTGAGTTATTTTCTTTAATCCTCTTCCTTGAATATTAATTATATTCCTATTTTATATCCATATTAGTATTTGATCATTACTTAAAGAATCAACTAGTTTTGATTCATATATTAATTATTACTAAAATCGATCGATGAATACGCTTGTTAATCATTCGGTCCTTTCACGGTAGTAAACTTGGATTATTAATGCATGTGTCACATGGTTAATAATCTAAGGAGAATTAATTATATTAATTAAACCAATAAACCGCTTGTGTTGAGGTTATCAATCTCAATCGATTTCATCTTAAGTTTTATTGCTACTATCGGGTCAATATATGGCGCGTGTTCTACATTGACTTAATAGTAAGTTTTATTAATGAGTGCGTCTCATTATTAATAACTACCCTCGATGAATTGGAGATACTTCACGATTGGTATTCGAGAGAAAGATAGTTAAAGATTTAACCGGTATCGATGGACATTTCATTAAGTGGATATAAACAAAACCAATTAATATGTGATGAATGACAGTGCACCATAGCCATCAAAACATCCCATCCAAGCCCATGAACTATATAAATCAAGGATTTAAAATATTCTGAGTTTAGGTCCAGTGCACTAGCATACCTCATATCATCATAGTTAAGGATATCCGATTTACGCACTTCGGAACCTTCCATAACGTCTGATGAAAATTCTGTAGGTTGATTGACATCCTTTTGGGGGTCTGATTCTTTAACTGGTGGTGCAACCCGTTTCAATTCTGTGTTCATTGTCGTTGGTGGAGTCCCGTGTGATCCCTTTCCTCATGCGACTAGGTAGAAGGTTCTGGACGCGGATGATTTTGGCGCAAGGTGAGAAACGACAATTGAAGATGAGCTGTGAGATCCAGCGAGTGAGGAAACCTGTGAAGTGTGATACTCGCTTAGTGACGATGCATGCGAACAGGAGGAAGAAACAGTTCGCGATCGCAAACTAGGAGGAACAGTTCGCGACTGCAAATTGGGAGAAACAACCGAAGGTGTTGATCCCTTGCAATCTTGCTGTCTAAGGCTCCTAACCGTTCACGATCGTCCTCTGGGTCGCGACACAGTTGGTGCAGCAAGTCATGCATCCGTTCCCGCGTCTCGACCAATGTAATTTTTATCTCTCCCAGGTTGCGTTCGATATTGTCCAGGCTTTTCTCCATTCGCGGCGTATAAAATTCCTTCATCCCTCTAGCTCTCTGATGCTCCAGGATGATCGGTTCAGACTCTACCTCCAAGAAGTGAGTGTTCTGATACCAGATGATAGAGACTCGACTGACACAACAGAATTTAGTAGTATATTATATTGATGAAGATCATAAGAAATAGAAGAAATAGATAGTCGAGACACTTAGAGCAATCCTCTCTCCCAAGTCCCAAAGCCTAACAGAATTTCTCTCGTCCTTCCCTACATCCCCACTTCCCCCTCTTATAAGAAATCTATTCTTAAGGGCCAGCTCAGCTTATGAATTATGGCAAATTATACCGTGCAACCGGCGCACCATGAGGATGGTGCGCCCGATTGCAAAACGACGCAGCTTCACTCTTTTTTTTTTGTTTTTGTTGTTTAAAAATGATGATAACTTTCTTATTTTTGATCCGATTTTTATAAAATTTATATCAACATTTTTTATTTTTCATGATCTTTCAAATGAGACCAATATTGCTTATGTAATGTTAAGAAATTATCGAACTATTATATTAATGAGTATTGGATTATAAGGAAAATCGAATCTGTTAGGAAGATGATAGGTTTGTGAAATAGAAGATTGAATCTGTTTGGGAGTGGATCAGTGGCCTCAGTTACATTTGATAATACATTGAGTTACATCTTTTTATGAGCGAGTTACATCTTTTTATAAGCAAGTTACATCTTTTTATAAGCAAGTTACATCTTTTTAAAAGCGAGTTACATATATATAAACACGAGTTGCATTTGACATGCCTGAACGCGACTTACATATATTTAGACGTAAAGTTACATATATTTATACTTAAAGTTACATATTTTTACACGTAAAGTTACATATTTATACACGCGAGTTACATATTTATACACACGAGTTGCATTTGACCTGTCTGAACGCGAGTTACATATTTTTTTACGTAAAGTTACATATTGCTACACGTAGAGATACATATTTATACACACGAGTTGCATTTGACCTGACTGAACGTGAGTTACATATTTTAACACGTAAAGTTACATATTTTACACGCAAATGTTAATATGTTAAAATTACATAGGCAATATTGGTCTCATTTGAAAGATCATGAAAAATAAAAAATATTGATATAAATTTTATAAAAATCGGATCAAAAATAAAAAAGTTATTACCATTTTTTAAAAACAAAAAGAAAAAAAATATATATAACCGTATTTGTACATTATTACATTATTTAATATAGATCTATTAGTCATATTATTATTGGTTGTCCATGTCCCTATCAAACAATTGGAGAAAAAATAAGTTGCTTTGAGTTTCAGCCCATCATAGTGCTAACATAGATCCTTCCTTGATTGAAATTTAATATGCAATACGGAGTATCGAAAAAGCACTATCTTTCAATTTATCTATATGTTTATTGATCATTTGTGTTCCTTTGGTCCAATTTTTCATCACTTTCTCGGTGATTGGAATTTACTCAAAATATGGAGAGAATGATTATATATAGGCCAAAACAATACTTATTTACGAAAATGGATTAAAGTTAAAAACGTTGACTAATTATAACATTCGTGCAACACATATTGATGGACTAAAATTGAAATTTATTCTAAAACTAATAATACAAAGTATCCTTCACTAACAAACTAATAACTACCAAACAATCCATAAGGAAACCAGCGCTTAACTAAAAAATTCATTGGGAAAAAGAATAATTTCCCATCGTGGCTCGTGTAAGATGTTTTTACTTGGACTGTAATTCCTCCCAGATCAGATCAGTTCAGACCAGACTTGGATAGTTATAAAAATACAAAGAAACCAGACCGGACCAGATCATACCAGTTCAGACCAGATCAGACCAGACCAGACCAGCAAATTACAGTCCAAGTAAAAACATCCATACTTAACATTTTGGCTTGGCTTTACTGGGCTTTGTTGTAGGGCTGGGCAAAATGGTGTGTTTAACCAAATCGAATCAAACCGAAAATTAGTAGTTTGGTTTGGTTCGGGTTTACTTAAGTAAACCGTTTGGTAACAACTTTCTCAAACCGAATGGTTTGATTTAAACCGAAAAAACGTAAACCAAACCGAACAACCAATTCAACAACTAGTAATATATATATATATATATAAATACTTTGTATTTATCTTCACTCTTCATCTATAGAATACAAGTAACAATTTAGATATGAAATATATATGTTTAGCATATATCACTTTAACTTCATACATTTCATACATTCATTATGACAAAGTTAGCTAATACGACATATTCTTTTTTATTAACTGTGTACTCTACATGTATTAAAAAAATTTGGCGATAACAATAGCATATTACATTTATATTTTATGTTAGACGTTTTAATGTCATCAGGCTTAGTAAGATAAACTAAGTAATAATTAATAAAATTTTATTATTTCTCTTTCTATCTTTTATTTCTCTTTACATTTTATTTAAATAATAAATATGAGAAGATGAGATGGACTACTATTTTCATTTTCTAATCATAAAATATAGAACTTGATCAAATAATTAGAAAACATAAGAAACTGAATCAAATCGAACTAAATTGAACCTAAAAATTTTCACTTTGGTAAACCGAACTTCAAACCAAACAGAACCAAAACCAAACCGATACACAAATGATTTTAGTTTAGTACAATATCTCCAAAACCAAATAAACCAAAACTGAATCGAAACCGAAGAAAACCGAACAGTAAACCGAATTGCACTTTGAATCCCAATTTTTGTCATGCATGCAAGTATGCAACCCCTAAACATGTGTGTTTTGTGGGTTTGAATTTATTAGAAAAAAATCAAGCTAATAATCTCAAATATTGCCGATCTGTTGTTAATAATCCAATTATCGATTATTTCTGAGTGGTCCCAACTATATGGACCATTTTTCAAATATAGTTCATAACCGACTACAACCTGGTATAACAGGTCAATTTTAAATGCGAACTATGCATAAATTATAAATAATCTCAACTACAGTCGATCTTTTTTATTAATCCAACTATAGTTATTTTTTATTACTTTCACTAAAATTATATGTTTTTCCCTTTTTTCCTGTATTTTCCTTAGTTGTGTTACCAATTTATGATTTATATTATTTTTTAATTGACATTTACATTCTCTGTTTTCAAAAAGTAAACTATGATTAAATTTTTTACGATTTAGTGCTTTATTCTAGCTTTTTTTCATGAAAATGTATTTTAGTTAATTTTTTATGTTGTCTAAATTCTAAAACTCTAAATTTTCTATTTTTCCATTTCAGTATTTCTAATTTCTTTCTACTTTTTATTTTATGTTATTATATTCTATAAATTATATGATATAGTTTATCGTTTAATTTTAGTGATTTGGGGTATATGTTTGGAGGTTTGGCTATTTTTAATGAAAAGGTATTAACATTATAAGTTCAAGTGATAGTTTCCCATGTATAAAAAAAATTATAAGTTCAAGTGAAATAATGAAAAGTGTAAAAATTTATAATTGAACGATAAGCTTATTGTTTTGGATCTAGCCCATACCAAAGTCATAAGTTCAGGTGTATAACTCATTCTCAAAAGACACCTAACTTATAAACCACCGATCAAGCCCATGTAACAGCCGGTGTAGGATTTTTACATATGTACTTAACAAATTGGTAATGTGGACAGCAAAGAGGTTTAAATCTCAGGTTGAATATAGGAACTGTATGAATTTAATAAACCAAGTTTGAGATATTTGGTATCTTCTCCTTGAAACTATTCCTATTATGAATGATCACAAGATAGAGTTTTTCATCTTGTCTGCTTGAATTACAAATCAAGGTAAAATTTTTCAAGGGGTTATTTTTTATATAATCAATAAAAGTCTATTATTATCCCCTAAAGAAAAAACCCTTGTTAGTCATATATTCATAAAAATGATGAGTTTATAGGCGTACAAAACTAGGGAATGGAATTCAGGATTAGATTTTAGTACCCTCAGTAAAAGAAACAAAAGTATACACTAGGTAATGAACCATCAATGGACAAAATTTTACGACCCATCAATAAAAAAAAAGTTTATTACATTTTGATAGGGGAGCGGGATTTAGAAATATGAAAAATGATCTTTGTACACCATAGTTCAATTTACTAAATTAGGCCACAAACACAACATGTTCTTGTGAAGAACTTCAACTGAGAAATATGTACTCTACTTACAGTCGAGTTATGTTTGTGAACATATTACACAGACATAAGAATGTGTTCTAGTTTGTGTAATTTGTACAGACACATGCACTGATGCACAAACATGATTTGTATGATACACGGACGTGTTTTTGTATGTGTCTACTGATTTAGTAGACATGAATTCTCAGAATAAAGGGTGTACAAAAAGTGTGTACACCTATCGAGATTGTTGAAATATACACTACGAAAAAGAAAGAGGCCAATGTGAATACTATTTTTTATGCAGCTATGGGAGAAGGTGACTGGGGGGTGGATTTTAAACGTTCTGTAGATCTCAGGTTTCCAGACTTCACTCTTCGAACACGCTCCAGCATCTTCACTACATCTCCTACCCTTGGCCGCTGATCTGGAGTCTTAACGACACAATCTAGCCCAATCCGCAGCATCTCCACCATCTCCTCCTCTATGTTGGGACACCTCAAAAGCTCTACATCAAACACTTCAGCAGTCCATTCCTCGCGAACCACAGAATGCACCCATCTTACTATGTGGACAAATTCATCACCACGTGTGGCATGGAGAGGGGATCTCCCAGTTAGAAGTTCAAGCAACAAGACACCAAAGCTGAAGACATCTGATGCCTGTGTAGCTTTCCTAGTGTCTGTCACTTCTGGTGGACAATACCCTCCACTTTGAGTGATAGGGGATGACATGGGAGTTATTAGTGTGGCCAATCCAATGTCAGAGATGCATCCGTAATGTGTAGAGTTGAGGAAAATGTTTGATGATTTTATGTTCCCGTGAACAAACTTCCCTCCACTTTGTTCATGAATGTGGGCAATGCCTCTTGCTGCACCCACAGCAATTTGAACACGAGTTTCCCAGTCTAAAGGAATTCGTCTCCCACCCCTATGATCTGCAGTATATAAATGTGTAACAATATAATCATATACAGATCTTCAAAATATCAAAATAGTATATTGTCTTTATGGTCATTCCGGATAGAGGTTTTTGGATTGTTGTAATGTTCATCTTATTCTTCATTTTTATTAAACAGATGGGTTGTTAGATGATATATTTCAAATATTAACATTAGGATTGGAATCATTCAGCTTAAATCATACCAGATCAAATCGAAACTGAAGGAATTAAGATCATATACGTATTATTTTAGGCAAAGAGATCAGGTCCTAAGTCCATCTTGAAGTATTTAAGGTTTTACAGAAGTTGAAAAAACAAAATATTATATATGATCATGTAACATTTCAATCACCTATTACTCTATAACAAAATATAGAGTAAGCCCTCCAAAAACTATCCCTCCAAATGCTTCCATCTAAACAAATGATGCCTAATATAAACAAGAACAAGTAGTGATGGGATGTTTCAAAATTGGAGTCTTCAGCAATCTAGCTATTGTAGCTACTGATGAAATGATTGTAACAGGTAAAACAATGAATTTAACTTTCAACTGTCTGCTTGGTGTTTACACTACTGGCCGATCATTGTTATAATTTTTAACAAAATACATAGATGTAAAATGGCAACCCAGTTTGTAGACAGTAATTACTCAGGACTATGTGAGGACTTTTTACATCAAGACCTTCAGCCTAATTTAATTAAATACCTGATGGGGTTAATTGTCATGTAAAAAAACAGTGTTTAGAAAGGATTTGCTAAGACTTCTTCCTTTCTTGATTTAAAGGATTTCTATGGAAGGACATAAGGGTCCATTTGGGCTCTGAGGGAAAGTGCAAGGATCACAAATAGGGGGCAACATATAGGGAAAATTTTGAAGGATAGAAAATATAGGGATAATGAAACATTAGTTTGAACTCAATAAAATTACTTAGCATTTTCAGGGATATAAATATTACCCTTAAAAAGATACGGAGTAGAAAACAAGGAAATTGACATACCATGTATCATTGCAGAAACGCTCCCTTGGCTGTAGTAATCATAAACCATGAGCTTTTCATCCCTAGAGTACAAGTAAGCCCTCAGAGGAGCCACATTCTCGTGCCTAATACCTCCAACAACCATCATGTGTTGCTCAAATTCTTTCCTCCCAACACTCACTTCCTTTAATCTTTTCACCACAACAGTGCTAGCATCCTCCAGATCTGCCCTATACACAACACCAGAAGTCCCCTTCCCTAGTATCTCTGCAGAAGCACTCAACAAATCTTCAAGGTCAAAGGCAACAATACAACCCTCAAAGAATATCATGTTACCACTTCCATTTGAATTGTCAAAATTTTCCTTCTCGCGAGAAATGCCCTTTCTGCGCGAGTTTGGTGAGGTTAGGTATTTATATTCTTTCTTTGAACAGAAAAGAATGCATAGGACAATAATTACAAGAGACACAATAGCACAACCTCCAATCATAATCCACATCACTACAGAGTGACTAAGTTTTTCAAACTTCTTTTCCAGTGAAGAACTCGAAGAAACAACAACCGGGGCAGGAGATAGATTATTACCGGAAAAAGATGAACTGCTGAATCTCATAAGCGAATGAGGCAAAATTCCTGTGAGTTTATTGTTCGATAGATCGAGTAGGTGCAAACTGGGGAGATTGAGATCGGGAATATTACCAGATAGTGAGTTGTTTGCAAGATTCAAAGTGGTCAAACGAGTCAAGTTTGAGAATGTGGAAGGTATACTCCCACTGAATTTGTTATTAGACAAATTCAGAAAGGAAAGGTTTTCCCACATTGAGAAATCAGCTGGGAGAGAACCGTCGAAGCGATTGTGTTGCAAACAGAGAGTCGTCAAACTCTGAGTCTTGGAAAGCTCAGAAGGGAAAGGACCAGAAATATTATTGTTTCCCAAATCTAAGATCTGAAGCTCTGGTAAAAGGGTTAGGGTTTGGGAAGGAATTAATCCATAGAGCCCAAATCCCGGAAGCTTGACACCTATCACTCTAGACATGTTCAGATTACAGGTGATACCAACCCAGCCAGAACAAGCAGAGAGGCTATCCTCCCAATTCGGTCGCCTCAAATGGCTCATGTTATTAATGAAATCAAGAAGAGCAAGTTTATCTTCAGTGGGTTCAGCCACTACACCTAAGTAGAGCATAGCTCCACTGAAGATCATTGAACAGAATGTGAAGTTAGAGGAACCCATATTTTTATTTCTTTCTCACCGTTAATGTTAATAACTTGAACTAATTCCTAGCACCACTCATCAACTACATAATAATTTCAAGACACTCATAATCATAGATACTTTCTACTTTAAACAATAAAATACATATGAAAATTCAAGTAATGATTAACATTATGTGTGCACAGACGAAAGTGGGAAAGCAAGGGTTAGGGTTTCAACGCACACAAATTATAGAATTACCCAAAATTCAAAATTAGATTCTTCTTTCGCACTTTGTGGACTATATGCCCTCCAAAAGCCTCTTTGCTTAACCACTTTCTCCCTTCCTTTTTGCCTGCTTGGTTGAAAATCTGGAAATGGAGAAAAAGAGAATGGAGTACTTCCTCGCACGCGTAAAGGATTGAACTAGGTCCATGTCAACCATTGCCAGCAAAATGCTCTGCTCACTTGTGGGCAATAAATCAAACGCTTATATGACACAAAAATAAAATAAAGCTCAACTGAACAGAACTAAATCCAAATAAACAATTTCATCTATTCGTGAAACAATGAATACCAGAATAATCTCTCACCGGAGGAGCCCCACCCCGACCGGACAGGATGGTGGGGAGGTTAGTCACGGTGACTCAGTCAGCAGAACGGTGACTCAGTCAGCAGAATGGCAGTAGGCCCATACACCCGTGCGCACCAGAGATCCAGCCTTATTTCACGTTCTCTGACCTCCACCCGATCACTGCGGGGATTCGAAACTTGGTCCATTGTTCCAAATCTCCCACCACTCGACCAACTGAGCTACCTGTGCATGTTTCATTTTTAGCATACAAAATTCTAGGGGTGGGCACCATTCGGCCGGTCCAATATTTGATGGAACCCGTACTTGTATCGTGACTATTCAACGGTTCGGTTCGGTTCGGTCTTAGACCTAAATCCGTTCAGTACAGTTCTATTTTCAAACGGGACGGTAACATGTCATACTAATATCAAACAATGCCAATTTTTCCAAGTATTTAAGGAAATTAAAGTTTAGTCATTCTTTAAAAATCAACACGATTTATCAATTTTCATACTCCCTCCGTCCCAAATTGATATGCAAAGTCAATATTTTTTTGTTACCAATTGGTTCACATTTTAACAATTAAAATTTACATACTCATAATTATATTAAAATCTCTTCAAAGTTACAAACTAGAAATTAAATCTAATTAAAAATTGACATCCCATTCACCAAAAAGATAAGTTTGAGTATAAATAAAAAAGTTATAAAAAAAAGGAGGTTTTCGTTTTATTTGGGCGGCGCATGCAGCTGCTCTCTTTCTCAGTGCCTTTTACTGCAAAAATCCTCCTTACGTACGAGGGATAACGCTACCAGGTTTCCCCAAGATGTTCAGCTCACTTTGACACCAATAAATACATTTTTTTCTTTGAATTGAAATACATTTGGAGGGAATACCTCAAATTTGAGGGTCTTAGACTTAGGGTGTTTGAAACTGATTTTGATTATGTTTCTTTTTTAATGCAGAAGCAGTTTTCAGAAGCTAGTCACCCTCAGCTTCTAAAAAAACTGATTCTAGGAGTAAATTATAACTCGAGTAAAAAATGCTGAAATTTTGTTTTCGGAATTACGCACGATCGTGCCTACCCTTGCAGGCACGATCGTGCGTGGCTGGCAGTAGCTGCTGGTCTATGTTCATATGATCAAGGAAAGTCGCCCAACGGTTGGGTGACTTATAAATCGCCAAACCGTTTGGCGACTTATTATAAGTCGCCCAACCGTTGGGCGACTTTCCTTGACCATGGTTAAATCCAGCAGTAGATCGGTAAATACTTTTTCCAGCATTATTTTCGTAGTTAATTAATTAATTAACATTAATTCGAAAAAAACTCACATGTTAGCTGTTTCATAAAAAATAAACCAGGAGTTAACAGTTAAACTTTTTCGTGTAATAATCTGTACTATTATTGAAATCAATGTCAATAATCCGTACTTTTACGTATTTTATAAATATCCCTACTATAAAAGTTCACAATAATAATCTCAATTAGTTAACTATTTCACAAAAATAAATCATGAACTAGCGGTGTTAGCATTTGCATTATATTTTTTTAATTTTAAATATATTAAAGCAAATATATATAGGCTTTAAATAAATCTTATTTGAGTTTAATCTTATTTGTACTCTTAATTTAATTTAATATTCAATATTTTTCATAAAATTTAATAGAAACATTTCTACTTTGAAATCTCTAAAAAAATCTATAAGAAATATTTCTACTTTGAAATCTCTATTTAGTTTTAACTTCTATTAAATTTGATGAAAAATATAGCACATTAAATTAAGTTTATAGTAGAAATAAGATTAAATTAAAAAAGTTAATGTTTATATATATATTTTCTTCATTATATATAAAATTTATAAAATATTAATACAAAATTAACATTGTTAGTTCTCGGTTTATTATTGTAAAACAATGTAGTCGTTGGGATCATTAGGATGGTTTACTTGGACTGTTTCCAATACAGATCAGACCAGACTTAAACAGATCAGATTAGACAAGATCAGACTTAAACAGACCAGACTAGACCTGAATTTTATAGTTATAAAATACACAGAGTCCGGACATTTACCAAACCAGACCTATACAGACCAGACCAGATCAAACCAACAAATTTGAATCCAATTAAAAGCATCCTTATTGTTAACTTTTTAGTAGGAATTATTTTTGTAAAATACGTAAAAAAAAGTACGGATTGTTGGCATCTAAGAGGCTGCATCAATTCATGCATCAATAGGTCAATCATAATGGTAGTCAACACAATCAGCCAATCAGGCATCTAAGAGATTACATCTCACACATAAGAATCAAATCAAATCAAATGATGCATGATATAAGTTAATCACCACAGTAATCAAGACAATTAGACATAAAAGAGGCTACATCACACTGATTTCAGATAGATCATGCATCACATAGATCAATCATCATGGTAATCAACACAATCACGCCTAACAAAGGCTAGATCACACTGATTTGAAGCAAATCACGCAAAACACTGGGTAAATGAACTGACAACAGAAATTGCACTCATCACATGCATTAGTTCAGCTGTTGTTTTTAACAAAAATTACAAATTAGGCAACCAACGAACAACACAACTTTAGTAAAAAAGAGGCTATGTTATGGGCTTTCCTAAGAAAATGACATCCAAGGACGACAACGATTGTGACCGAAGAGATGATCGTAGGGATCTGGATACCAAATTCAGAGTGGTCATCACATGCCCAAACGCATTAGGGTTTGTAGCATCAGACACCAGTGTTCAAATCGATATTAGGCGAGTCATTATATTCAGGATTTGGTGGTAACACATCTGCAGAATCCGTTGACGGCATCGAAGAACCAAAGATTCACAGATAAAGCTAGAAGAAGAGAAAGAGATGGATTTTGATGAAAGAGGGCAGAGAGAGACTTGTATGAAGGGATAGGTAGTAAGATGTCGGTTCACCACGGGTAGAGTAATTAAGTTGATGAGGATATTTATGAGCTTTCAAGTTTCAAACACTTGGACTTGCCATTTAAGGAAATATAAAGTTAGATGAGGGACATAAAATAAGAAAGTGGGAACTTATTTCAAGATGGATGCATGTAATATTTGAATAATCTTATAGTTACTTACTATGTCCCACTAACATTAGTATAGCATGTTGTGATGTGGTTATAAATAAAGGTGAATTTCTGTGACGGTTATAAAGTAAGGACATTTTAGAAAAATGAAAGATAATACAATTTTAGCAAGACAGAGAAAGTTTTACTTAATATATTTTAATAAAATAACATAAATTTGATATCTAAAAGTAAAATTGGAACCGTCACAAGAAATAAGTATTCAAATTCACGAGATACTTTTCTAGGGTTGCCGCTAGGCAACGCTTAATTAGCTTGGATTGTCCGGTGGTGATTGATCTCATCACGAAACCGGTTTGCTTGTTCTTTCTATTGTATCCTGGCATGGAAGAAGAAGATTTTGGGGTTCGATGTAGACCTAGCCGTCACGCTGCTTAGGTGGATGATTGCCAATTGATGCTCGCTGGTCTTGTTTGTTTTCTTCCCTTCGTCCGACTTCAAAATTAAGGAACACAGTCAGCAATATTGAAAGGGTGATATCATCGAGTGAAGGTCATGGACGAAGCTTGGGGTTAAAAGCTGGAACAGGTCTGGATTCAAGGTCAATTGTGATTGGTGGAGAAAGTGGAGGCTTGACAGAGATGGATGAGCAGCGAGCGCGTCCCCTCTCGAGCCGCCGCCATGGAGTGCAAACGAGTCTAGGGTTTGGAAGATGATGAGTGAACTCTATTTTAATTCCATTTTTTTCTGTTTGTGTTTTTCTTTGGAATTGCATGTTGTTTTGGACGAGTTCTTATTTCCTAGCAGAGAGATTCTAGATTTTAAATCAGGTGAGGAGAAGTCTGGTTTGCCTGTCATTGGCTCAGTTAAGCCCATTACAGGATCAACGAATGTTATTGCTTCTACAGAGGTAATAGATTCAAAATTTGGTTCAAGGCGCGGATAACTTAACAGACAACAACAACATCCAAGCCTTAATCCCAAAAGAATTTGGGGTCGGCTAACATGAATCGATCTATGATATCGATGCCAAAAAGAGAAGGCGAACAAGAAAAGGAAAAAAGGTAAGATAAAATGAATAAAATAAAGATACATAAATATTAGATAACAATAACACAAGAATATAAGTTAAGTGTGTGGTCAAAGCAGTGGGCCCAGATGGCATACCGACATAAGACTTTTTATCATTTTGTTTCCTGCTTTTTCTTTGATTGTATTATCAGCCATGTGATGAACTTTTTGTTGAGTTAATATATTTGTTGGAGTTAATGGTCAAGAAAAAAAAGTAAAATTGGAACCAGAAACCAAACAAGATTTGAATTGGAATGGAACCGGGACCACTGATTTTGAAATCGGTGCAATGCGATTCTAGTGTCGATTCCACAAGACTGCGATCCGAAAACTAACGGTTCAAACTGTTACGATTAAAAACTATAAAGTTTTTCTCAGAAACTATTCAATATAATTTTTTTAAATGATCATAAATTTCAACTGTTCTTAAATTGTACAAAATTTATAAGATATTTTTTAGCTACTTTTAGAATTACAATGTAATTGGTTTTTTGTTAAATGTAACTTTTGACCATATTTTCAAAAATATACTCCCTCCGTTTCTGAAACAAGTTCCACATTTGACTTCACACATATTAAGAAAATAAATTTGACTTTACTGTGGAGTGCATTGTTTGAACACTGTTTGACACTGTTTTAATGCAGATGATTTGCCAAATAAGGAAATGTTTGAAAGTGAGACTTAATTTTGAATCTGCCCGAAAAGGAAAGGTGGAACTTGTTTCAGAAACGGATGGAGTACTACGTAGTACGTACTAGTAGTAAACAAAAGAGAAATGTGGATAATTTTAACTTCATCAAGAGAGTGAATACACTACTTTCGTATTGAGAGGGTAGATAATTAAGTTTATTGACGGTCCATGAATTCAGATATCTTAGATACATATAGCCGTACAGAGTATAACAAGCAATTTGGTCCGAAGAGTTGCATTCCAGACGGTCACCAGAACTTGACTACATTAGATTCGACAGAGACCAAGATCTCAAAAATGCATCTATTTCAATAACCAATCCCTCCTTTCAATCTAAAACAGATCTAATTTGTAAAGTTCAGCTCTGATGACCCCTTTTTCAGTGTAAACCTTAAAACACAAGTTCACCACAATACAGCATTATAGTGTTACGAATCAACGAACTTTCCTGTATGAAATTGTTACACGCAAAAGATAAGCACAAGCGTATAAATTTAATCTCACTATTAACTAGGACAAAAGAACCAAAATTGGATTTTGATCATGGATACTCGATTTCCGATGAAAATAAATAGTAGTTCTATGTAATAAACGGCATAGAATAGAACTGTCCTAAGAGAAGTGAATGCCAGCCTGGCTAAACAAAGAAAGTAGGTGGATGAAATCTTCTTGAGACAGTTTGGAAGACCTCTTATCCTCAAAACCTCCTTGTTTCAACACTGACATAACTTTCTGCTTAAAATCTGATGATTCTTTACCATCCCCTCCATCATCCATATCCATCTCATTCTCATCATCGTCATCCCCATCATCATCCATGTCCAAGTCACCAAGTGTATCTCCCAAGGCTGAAACTGCCAATGATATGTGTGCGTCATCTAATGCCAAACCATTCTCAGGTTGTATCTTCAGTGCTTGTAGAGTCTTATA